TCTGTATATTAAGATAATCGAAAATGAATCTTGATGTGAATGGAAGGGGAGAGGGAGTGGGAAAGGGGAGGGTTGTGGGTGGGAGGGATGGTATGGGGGGGAAGCCATAGTAATCCATTATTCGTACTTTGGAAACGTATATTCATTAAATAAAAGTTAAAAAAAAAAAAATCCCAAACACTAAACTTCTGGATACCCCATGTGTTTGGTCACTTCTAGAGCATGCACACTGTTACTTGCAACTGGTGCCTCCCAGAAGGCAGGAGCCCAGAGGCTGAGGGCCTTCTGCACCCCATACTGATCACCAGAGGGAAACCTTCACACTAGATCTTCATCAAGAGACCAGGGGGAAAACACTCCTGCCCTGTTCCAGCTATCACTCCACTCTCTGTGGACAATGGGATGTTGTACCATCAGAACAGATGGATTAGAGCTCCAATTTGAATCTGGTCTTTAAAAAAAAAAAAAAAATCAGAATGAATAACAGCTTTTCAGGTCATTTATAAAATTTTCAGTCATTTAAAAATGATAAATGGAGCAGGCATTAGGACAGCAGTTAAGATGGCACTTGGGATGCCCACATCCTGTACCAGAGTCCCTGGTTCAAGACTTAGCTCCTCGGCTTCCTGCTCATGGGCATACTTTGAGGCAGATGACAGCTTGAGTAACTGGGTCCTTACCACTCATATAGAAGACCCAGATTGAGTTCTGGGCTCCTGGTTTCAGCCTGACCCAGCCCTGGCTGTTGTAGGCAAATGGGGAGTGAACCAGAAGATGGAAACTATCTCACTCTCTCCTTACCAACTTTAATGGTAATATACATTCTATGGTTATTTCCCTTTTCATGCTGTTTCAGAGTCCTAATAATTATCACTTTAACATCTGCTTAAATCATTAACAGGACTTACCATAATTGATTCTAATTTTCCCCCTATTGTTGTAAATGCAATTTTGAATTTTTACCTACTATTGATAATGCTTCAGCAAACATCTTTATGTACAGAGGACCTTTTCAATAATTTCTCTACAATAATAGCAGAAAAGACATCTTAAAGAATATGGATTTTAAATTTTTTTTTAATGTTGGTTGCACAACTTGCTGCTCAGAGAGCCAAACTAATTTTATAAGCAAGCCTCATAATCTTTGATAGTTTGTCTACTACAAATTTACCCTAACAAACATTCCTCTCATACGCTGGTTGGGAGTATAAACTGGCACTATTTTTTTTTTTTTTTTTTTTTTTTTTTTTTTTTTTTTTTTGACAGGCAGAGTGGACAGTGAGAGAGAGACAGAGAGAGAAAGGTCTTCCTTTGCCGCTGGTTCACCCTCCAATGGCCGCCGCTGCAGCCGGCGCACCGCGCTGATCCTGGCAGGAGCCAGGAGCCAGGTGCTTTTCCTGGTCTCCCATGGGGTGCAGGGCCCAAGCACCTGGGCCATCCTCCACTGCACTCCCTGGCCATAGCAGAGAGCTGGCCTGGAAGAGGGGCAACCGGGACAGAATCCGGCGCCCCAACCGGGACTAGAACCCGGTGTGCCGGCGCCGCAAGGTGGAGGATTAGCCTATTGAGCCACGGCGCCGGCCTAAACTGGCACTATTTTTAAAAAGGCAATGTGAGGTGTTTTTGAAAAGTTATAATGTACAATAAATACGCTTTGACCTTAGAATTTCATTTCAGGGAATTGATTCTTTGAAATATCAGTCTATCTACACAAAGAAAATGAACAAAAAATGCTCACTGCAGTATGATGTGTGGTAGCAAAGAAAAAAAAGAAACTGACCTCATTATTCATCAAGGGAGAATAAATTATGATAAATCAAAATAATACAGCATTTTACTTCTACTTTAAAGAAACTATATACATGCACGTATGTATATATATTTGAAGTTCACAGGAAAAGGTCTAAGAGGACATACTAGAGGTGGCTATCTACAAACAGAGAAATTATATTGGGATGAAGAAAGTGACAGGGTGGCAGTGAGGGAAAAGTCATATCTTTCACACTGTATTCTGTTTGTGTGTATTTAAATCATTTCCAGTGAACATATGTTCAGATAATAGTTTAATAACTAAAATAAACATTTAGAAATACACGAATGGGGGAAAAAACTATTTCACCTAACTCCTTCCCTTGCCTTTTTCTTCATAATCAATCTAAATAACTTTAAAAGCTGGCCATACATTCCATTACTGTCTTTTCAGTGACCACCCACTTAAAAATGGGTTGACCCAGGATAAAAATCTGAAAAATGGGACTGGTATAATGGCACAGTGGGTTAAGATGCTACTTGTAAAGCCGGGCATCCCTTATAGGAGGACTGTTTCAATTCCTGGCTGCCCTGCTTCTGATCCAGCTTCCTGCTAATGTGCCCAAGAAGGCAGCAGAAGATGACCCAAGTACCTGGGCCCCTGCCACCCACATGGGAGACTGGATGGAGTACCTGGCTCCTGGTTTCAGTCTGGCATAGACCTGGCTGCTGCAGCCCTTTAGGGAATGAACCACAGGATAAAATATCTCTCTCTCGCTTACTGGCTCTTGCTCTCACTCTCTCTCTCCATCCTTCCCTCCCTCTCTCCCTCTTTCCCTCCCGCTTTGGTACTTTGCCTTTCAAATAAATAAATAATGTTTTTCAAATCAAGTGAATAGAAGAGAAAGCTGAGAGGAAAACAGAGAGTCAGAAATGTACCAAAGCTGGAAAGACCGCAGAGTCATAGACCAGGGATCGCATATTTCAAACCATCTACCTTCCAAACCACAAATTACAAGAAAGTGAATAATGAAATCCACATGTACATATGAGCGTGCTGCTTTCTCTAACTGGTTCTAACCTCTGCAGTAAACTGCTGCATAAGGAAACTGAGGGGCATTTATTTAAGCCTGTGTGTTCCAGCATATACTACTCTGCTGACGACCATCCAGATCAGAATCTCAGGGCACTTACTGAATATCAAGAGTCAGGGTTCTAGATCTACCCCCATTCTCTAGTGTAAAGAATGGAAATCTGCAGCCTCCAAAATCACCCCAGCTGACCCATAAGTCAAAACAAAATGGAAGACCTACTTCCTTAAAGCATTCAGGAATGCTGACCACCATAGCAGTGATCGGAACAGAATCAGTACATTAACAACAACAAAAAAAGATTCTTATTTGACTTTCTGAAAGATGGTAAGATCATGATTTATCATCTAAAGAGTAGGCATTATAATATAAACCAAATGCAACCTGATTAGATTTAGATTGTATACACTATACAAGCAAGGGTTGTTTCTAGTTTATCTTCACTCTATGAACCAGTATCCTGTGTCTGGCACATAGTAGGTACTCAATAAACACTGTCAAATGAATATAATTTGGCCCAGAGAGCACTTTACACAGAGAAATCAATTAGGGTGAACTGGAGTTGGTGAGTGGAAGGGGAGAACATAAGACTGGGAATAAGATAGGTGGATTCTCAGATTCAGAGACAGGGTGCTGTATCCAATAAGAATGTGGTCTCAGTGTAAATCACTTAACCTTTCTATGGCTCATATTCCTCTGCTATAGGGTGAGGGGGTCAATTCTGTGAAACTAGCTGCCAAGGCATCATTTAAATGCAACCCAAAATGGTGAAATGAAATTCTAACAACATTCCTATGATGAGTATCCTTGGGTACTCTCACATCCAAGTTAATAATGTAAAGACACAGAAACATTTTGAAATGGGAATATTACCTTCACCACTGATTTGTCATTCTGTGATTAAGTTTGAAACCACTTGGAAGAAGACAATCCATTTGAAAGCAAAACAAGAAAGATAATGAGCAGAGAGGTAAGCTGTGAGTCTACAAGTTAGGTAAATAACTGCCATAGCAGATTTCAAAAATCTATTTACAAAAATTATTTGTACTTAACGTATTCTGGGATAGTACCTAATATAGATATTACTGAATTTTTGCCATAGTTCTTTTTTAAAAAAGGAAACAAATGTGCCATATACATTTTTGAGGAGATATTTAACATATAGTTTATTGAAAATTCGTAACCACTGGATGTGAGTCACATAAGCCCATATTTTTAAGGAAGGACCAAACAGACATTCTGAAGACTGAGGCATTAAATGCCAAATATGCTGCAAATGAATCTTAAGTGCAGCAGAAGGTCATGAGAGCAAAGAGTGGTTATTAACCTGCATGCCCATCTCCAAAATACTAGTCTGCCAGAGCAGGCCATCAATGTCTTAATGTGTGTGAGGGACCCCAGAGGCTGCAGTGGGAAAAACAAGGACAGGTGCCCTTAGGATTCCAAGAGAAATGTTCATGAATCCAGAGGAAAGTTTAATTACTCCAATCTCTGAAGGAGGAGGCGGACAGGAAAGGCAAGAAATCACCTGAAGATAGAGGAAGTAAAAAATGCATATTCCGTGGCTCATCACTGCTGACTCTCTTTAGGAGAAGCACTTTTAGGTACCTCGGGAGGTAGGGTCCCTCAGTAAACCTCTAGTTCAGTCCCTGGTACACTTGCTCCAGGCCCTCAATGGAGGCAACTGCTAAAAGCACAAGGTGGTCCTTTGAAAACCTTGAGCGAGCTATGTAAGGGATGTTAGAGATTTTCCCAGCTTGAAGGTACAGGGAAAAGCACTGTGTATACGGCCAGCAGAGGAAGCTCTGAGAGCAGCAGGATGTGGACAACTGTCAGCAAAACCAGTAGCACACTGGAGTATGGCACTGCCTCCTGGAGGCCCCTCAAGGGGTGAAGCAGGTGTGGCGATAGACCAACTAGCAGGGAATGATGGTCAGAGTAGGCAATTAATAGCCAAAGGGGAAAATGGGGGTGCAGCTGTCCTAGCCTCTGTGGAGGACCATGAGCCTCCGCAGCCTCTCTGGGAATTGAAACCAAACTGACTGGGAATCCCTGGAGCAACAGCATTAGGATGTCCAAAACCACTGTGAATGTCATTCATGCCCTGAGCATGCATGCCCATGACTGGTAGGACTGGTAGAACGAGGCTTGTGCACTCACATTCTTATGGAGCCATGGTGACTTTGACAATTTCATAAAGGTCAAGTGAGGCTTAAAGCTTTGGCTTTCTCCTACCATGACACCTTTTTCTTGAAACGTCCTTTTCGCAGTCTCTGAAAAAAATAAAAGAAACACAAAGATGCTACTCTAACACATAGTTGTCTTTAATTATAAAATGACAATTAAAAATAACTATGATGAAGATTCCTTTATCTATTTGTTGTATATCTGTTTTTATTTTTCTTCTTTTCTGAGATTTATTTATTTATTTTATTTTAAAGACAGAGTGACAGAGACAGAGTCAGAGAGTCAGAGACAGAGAGATCTTCAATCCACTGGTTCACTTCCCAAATGATCACAACAGCCAGGATGGAGCCAGGAACCTGGAACTTCATCCTGGTCTCCTCCATGGGTTGGACTGAGGCCCAAGTACTTGAGTCATCTTCCTCTGTTTTCCCGTGCACATTTGCAGGGACCTGGATCAGAAGCAGTGTGGCCAGGATGTAAATTGGCACTCCAATATGGGATGCTACTGTTGCAAATGGTGGCTCAATTCAATGCACCATAATGCCAGCCCCTAAATAGCTGTGTTTTTTTTTTTTAAATAGAAGATTAAAACCTACAACATGTAGGGAACAGCTAATAAACAACTATTTGACTGAAAAGATGCTGATTTACATAAAATATTTCACTGGTATTTGCATGTATACGAAAGGACTAGCTTCTCTTGACTCTCCATATCTAAAATGTCTACTTCTGACTGACCAAAATGAAGTAACAGGAGCGCTCACTTGAAGATACAAAACAAACAAGGTGAGCCTTCAATTGTGCCAGCTTACATCCTAGAGTATCCAGGCCCCTGCACCAGGAGAGATAAAAGTGAGCTGCAGCTAATCATCATCTTGGGTTGAAGGGAAAAGAGTTGAAAGTACAAGAGACCAAGGCAACCAGAGTTCATAGGACAAAATAAAAAAGTGAGGCCTGCGCCTAGAGAAAATTCCAGAGATCTGGGAAAGGTCTCCTCAACAGAGGTGGGGAATGTCCAGCCCATGGGCCTTACAGGGCCTGTGAAATCATTTGGTCTGGGCCTGCCAAGGCAACTGCAGGTGGGACTCAAAATTCCATAACTCTGTATCAGGCTAACTTTTAAGCTGATAATTTCATTTGGCCCATGAACAATGCTATAAATATCCAAATGGCCATTGGCAGAAAAAAGGTTCCCCACTCTGATGGAATACTCAACTGAGTTCTGCTCATTGCACGTGTGTGAGGAAACTACCGGAGGCAAGTGGAAAACACACTGAAAAGGATCAGAGGGAACAGCGCCCAGCATTGTTAGAAGTTAGGAATACTGCCTCCTTCATTAGCCTGACTGGAAAACCTCAAGATTCATGGGACACTGCAGAACAGAGAATCTTGCTGCAGTACTGGGAAGTAATTAATTGAGGACTGCTACTGCTCTTGTATCACCGAACAGACCTTAGGAGAAAGACCCAAAGGTGGCCGTTACTATTTCCAAGTAAAAATTACGTCCCAGAACAATGCCCAAGGATATTGATAAGAATACAAAACTATCCAAGACCCAACAAGATATACTTCACAATACCTGGCATCTAATCAAAAATTACCAGGCATGCATGGTACTGGTACAGAAACAGATGGATAGACCAATGGAACAGAACTGAAACACCAGAAATCAACCCAAACATCTACAGCCAACTTATATTTGATCAAGGATCTAAAACCAATTCCTGGAGCAAGGACAGTCTACTCAATAAATGGTGCTGGGAAAACTGGATTTCCACGTGCAGAAGCATGAAGCAAGACCCCTACCTTACACCTTACACAAAAATCCACTCAACATGGATTAAAGACCTAAATCTACGTCCTGACACCATCAAGTTACTAGAGAACATTGGAGAAACCCTTCAAGATATTGGCACAGGCAAAGAATTTCTGGAAAAGACCCGGGAGGCACAGGCAGTCAAAGCCAAAATCAACTATTGGGACTGCATCAAATTGAGAAGTTTCTGTACTGCAAAAGAAATAGTCAGGAGAGTGAAGAGACAACCGACAGAATGGGAAAAAATATTTGCAAACTATGCAACAGATAAAGGGTTCATAACCAGAATCTACAAAGAGATCAAGAAACTCCACAAAAACAAAACAAACAACCCACTTAAGAGATGGGCCAAGGACCTCAATAGACATTTTTCAAAAGAGGAAATCCAAATGGCCAACAGACACATGAAAAAATGTTCAAGGTCACTAGCAATCAGGGAAATGCAAATCAAAACCACAATGAGGTTTTACCTCACCCCGGTTAGAATGGCTCACATACAGAAATCTACCAGCAACAGATGCTGGCGAGGATGTGGGGAAAAAGGGACGCTAACCCACTGTTGGTGGGAATGCAAACTGGTCAAGCCACTATGGAAGTCAGTCTGGAGATTCCTCAGAAACCTGAATATAACCCTACCATTCGACCCAGCCATCCCACTCCTTGGAATTTACCCAAAGGAATTTAAATTGGCAAACAAAAAAGTGGTCTGCACCCTAATGTTTATTGCAGCACAATTCACAATAGCCAAGACCTGGAACCAACCTAAATGCCCATCAACGGTAGACTGGATAAAGAAATTATGGGATATGTACTCTTTAGAATACTATACCGCAGTAAGAAACAACGAAATCCAGTCATTGGCAACAAAATGGAGGAATCTGGAACACATCATGCTGAGTGAAATAAGCCAGTCCCAAAGGAACAAATACCATATGTTCTCCCTGATTGGTGACAACTGACTGAACACCAAAAAGGAAACCTGTTGAAGTGAAATGGACACTATGGGAAACGGTGACTTGATCAGCATAGCCCTGACTGTTAATGAACAACTTAATACATTATCCCTCTTAGTAGTTTTTTGTCTGTTCTACTTAACATGACTGGTTTAATTCTGTAATTAATACACAGTTATTCTTAAGTGTTGAAATTTAACTGAAATGTGATCCCTGTTAAACATAAGAGTAGGAATAAGAGAGGGAAGAGATGTACAATTTGGGACATGCTCAAGCTGACTTGCCCCAAATGGTAGAGTTAGAAACATACCAGGGGATTCCAATTCAATCCCATCAAGGTGGCATGTACCAATGCCATCTCACTAGTCCAAGTGATCAATTTCAGTTCACAATTGATCATAATGAAAGGACTAAGAGTCAAAGGGAGCACATAAACAAGTCTAGTACCTGCTAATACTAACCAATAGAATAAATAAAGGGGAGAGTGATCCAACATGGGAAGCGAGATACTCAGCAGACTCATAGAATGGCAGATGTCCTGAACAGCACTCTGGCCTCAGAATCAGCCCTAAAGGCATTCGGATCTGGCTGAAAAGCCCATGAGAGTATTTCAGGCATGGAAAGCCAAGACACTCAGGCAAAAAAAAAAAAAAAACAACAACAACAACAACAACAAAACAAAACAAACAAAAAAAAAACAACCCTAAATGAAAAATCTCTGTGAGTGAGATCCCAGTGGAAAGAACAGGTCATCAAAGAAGGAGGTACCTTTCTCTGAAGGGAGGAGAGAACCTCCACTTTGACTATGACCTTGTCTAAACAAGATAAGAGTCGGAGAACTCAAGGGGCTTCCATAGCCTTGGAAACTCATGACTGGTGCATAGGGAGATTACTGATGCCATAAACAGGAGTGTCAATTTGTAAAGTGAACAACAGGAGTCACTGTGCACTTACTCCTCATGTAGGATCTCTGTCCTTAATGTGCTGTACATTGAGACTTAATGCTATAATGAGTACTCAAACAGTATATTTCACTTTGTGTTTCTATGGGGGTGCAAACTGTTGAAAGCTTTACTTAATGTACACTAAACTGATCTTCTGTAAAAAAAAAAAAAAAAAAAAAAAAAAGAAGGAATTATCAATTCCCAACTTGACTCTCACTGGGATTAAACATGACAATAGGTCTGATCTGATTTCATCATCATTTAAAAAATCATCTATTATTTTTCACTTTATGTTTCTGTGTGGGAGCAAACTGTTGAAATCTTTACTTAATGTATGCTAAACTGATCTTCTGTATATAAAGAGAATTGAAAATGAATCCTCATGTGAATGAAAGGGGAGAGGGAGTGGGAAAGGGGAGGGTTGCAGATGGGAGGGACGTTATGCGGGGGAAGCCATTGTAATCCATAACCGTACTTTGGAAATTTATATTCATTAAATAAAAGTTAAAAAAAATACAAAAAAAAAAGAAAAAAAAAATTACCAGGCATGCAAAAAAAGGAGAACAACATGGCACATAATGAGGAGATAAATCAATTAACTAAACAGTAACTCAGAGCTGACAAAGATGTTAGAATTAGCAGATAGGGCATCAAAACAGTTATTAAAACTATAATTCCTTATGTTTACGAAGTCAAGCAGAGATATGCAAGGTATAAATTAGATCCAAATAAAACTTTCAGAGATGAAAACTGCAATGTCTGAGAAAAATAAACTGAATAGAAATAAAGACAGGGATTAGACTTTGCAAAACAAAAGATCAGTAAACATGAAGACATAGCAATAGGAACCACCCCCCCCCCCCAAAGAATACAAACAGAAGAAAGGAACGGAAAAAAAAAAAAAAGAACATCAAGGAGCTATGGGTGCTACTTCAAGTTGCCTAAAGCATGAATAACTGGAAACCCTGAAAAAAAGGTGAGAGAGGGGGTGTCAGAGGATATAATGTTGAGGATATAATGGTTGTTGGGGAATGAGCGCTGCTACAGCCCCACTGCAAAGCAATCCAGGCAATAGCTATTAAAATAAAAGCTACACAAGAATTTTGAACAAATAACCCAATTATAGGATAACATACAGAAACAAAATTACTGGCACATAAAATTATATGTAGACGATATTTACTAAAGCACTGTCTGAATTGGCATAAATTAGAAAAAAACCTTCAACAATAAAGAAATGGTTGATAAATTAGCCCACAGTCATACTAAGGAGTAGCACATAGCAAATAAAAAGGATTAACTAGAGCTACACATATAAACCTATTAAGGGAAGAAAAGGAGTAGATTGTGGGGTCAGCATTGTGGCGCTGCAG